TGGTATACTCCATAAAGAGGTAATTCCTGTTGCCCTTGTTGGTTTGGCTCAGGTTTTATTCTGGTTAAGGGCACGTACCTCGGTTGCAGGTTCGGTCCCGAGCCGCGGTTGGGGCATGTGCAGGAGGAAACTAGTTGATGTTCTCTCTCACATCTATGTTTCTCTCTCTCCCCCTCCTCCCTCCCTTCTACTCTCTCTCTAAAGATCAATGATATCCTTGAGTGAGAATTTAAAAAAAAAAGGATAGGTAATCCCTGTTACTTGGAGGGTGACTTTATGGCAAGGAATAAACAGCCTACACAGGTATGCTTGCTCTGCCCTCACTCTGCTCAGAACATCCTTGTGCATTTCTGCTCAGAGCCTAGGAATTTTCCTTCAAGATCCTTCCTGAGTCCTCAGCTGGAACTCAAATGCCTCTTCTCTTTGCAAATACATGTGTCTGTCATCACATTGCATTGCTTAGTGATATGTCCGCTCATCTAATGATCCCTCCATTGACCAGAACCCTCATGCCAGCTTTAATATCTGACTTATTCCCATAACCCAGAGCTCAGGAGGGGCCTGGTTCCTGGAAGATGCTTCCTAACCATGGGCTGCCTCAGCCCCCTATGCCCCTGTCTGTCTGAAGCCTGAGCTCCTCCCTCCCCCTTCCCAGCTCCCTCGGGCACTTTGGTGTGATAGCATCAGAAATCCATCAGCACAGCAACTGCCTGACTGATGGGAGCCTGTTTGTAAAATTTGTGCACAGTCAGACTCAGGAAACAAATAGGATTAATCAGACTGGCAGGGAGCAGGGACTCTGGGACCAGTCACCATTGCAGTAGGGCCTCTGCGTCCGCCCTGGCGCGCTCCTGCGGTCTCCAGAATGCAAGTAATAGGATTTCTGCAGTTAAGCAGCTGTCACCCTCGGGTCTGGGGACATGCATATGCATCTGTAGTGTAGAAGGCCATGTGGGTACCTGGTAGGAGGGCTGGGAGAGGCAGGGTTTTCCCAGGTCCTAAGGCCAGCCTCGGCCTTGGGACCAAAATTACCCAAGCCCAGTAAAGGGCAGTTCTGTAGAATTCTCTCTCTCTCTGTTTTCCCCCTCTTCTGTCAGAATGCAATCTGCGTGGGAGCAGGGGACAAGCCTATGAATGAATATCGGTCCATAGTGTACTATCAAGTCAAACAGCCACGGTGGATGGAAACAGTCAAGGTAATAATAATACATTATAATAATAGCAGCAAACACGTATCTGGGGCTCAGAGGCACTTCCCTGGGGTGTGGAGCAATACCCCACAGGTGTCGGTGGTGCACCGGGCTGTGGAAATGGCGGGCCTGTGGGTGAGCACTCTGGTTCTCTTGCTCTCTCTCCACTGGCCGAGGGCCTAGCCACCGTGAGGTTGTCAGATGGTCCTCTCGTGGGTGGTACCCAGCCCATCAAGCTGTGTCCTGACATCAGCAGTGAGGAGTGACAGAGCTTGTGAGGCTACACTAGGCCAATTAACACCTGACCGATAACCTGCTGGAGGGATCTCAGAGGGAATCGGCATTAATCACAGATATTCGCATTCCTAGATCGTCACACTAAGCAGAAGGGAAAGCCAGGCACTGGAGGAAGAGTTGGGAATTCATTCAGGGAACAGGGAAGCCTGGTCTCAGCTTCAAATAGCTCTGCCTGTAACGAGCAGCAGGTTTGACTTCCCCTGTGCTCTGAACCCAAACACAGACGTCCACTTGACTCAAGTTTCAGAGGTAGCTACGCAGACCCTGAGGTCCTTGCCTGGTCACCTGTATTCCTGTTCCCCTCAGTGGGTCTCCCTGTACTCACTTTCTTAAAAATGATGACCTGCCCAGCTTTGGGGTCACAAGCTATTGAACCAGGGCAGGGGGTGTCCTCTTCTCTGTGTTCATTTGCACCCCAGTTATACCTCCTTGTTGGTCCTTGTAAACTTTGTGCGCAGACACCCCCTGGTTCCATAGCTTTGTGACCCCAAAACTAGGCGCCGCCCCATGGGGGCCACAGTCTCTTTGAATTGCAGGGACTTACACGAGCACAGCCAGGGCCTTACATATTGTAGCTTATAGTAACCACTCAGCGTGCAGGAGAGAATGGAGTGGACTGCAGCTGCTCATGAGGCCCTCAGGTCTTGTGTTCTGTCTGAAACACCCAAATGGGGACCTCTGCAGGCTCCATGTTCATTATCTGGAGCAGAAAGTGCCCCAAAGTATGCGTCTGTTTGGGTTTTAATGGTCTTCTGTACAATGTAAACGTGCCCCTTTTTAAACACCAAAGTGGTTTCTCACAGCTCTCTGAGCTTCTCTGCCGAGACCTGAATTGCACATTACAGAGAGAGCTGTAAGCTTTCTGGGAGATTTACTCAAATGTTATTGGATTCCAGCATTTTTATTAATTTTCATAAATGGGGATCCTCAAGCACGCCCCCTAAGGACTATTGCTAATTTGCCAAGCCCTGCTGCCATTGCCCGAACTCCTGTGGTGAGCCAGGAAAGTGTGTGGTGTGCAGTTTGCAGCACATCAAACCCTGGGCTGAAGTTATGTGACTTTTATATCAATTTGGGGAGATTCATTTCCCCTTACTATAATTTACAGATCTCTTTTCATTGACTGGGATTGCAATTTGCCAAATGGATTACATTTGGTACTTTATTTTCTCTTCATAGCTGGTCCTTATCTAACATATTTACAGTTCATCAGTCTTGATGGGTGGGTGGTAATAAATCAGCGTGCAGGGCCCTCCAGTACATGGCCAGGCTGCCCTTTCGGGGGGGGGGGGCGGAGACTGGGGAGGACCGTGTAACGCATGGTCTCCTGAGCTCTGGTTTCTGCCTGCGGAGGTGGCTGTCCCCATCGAAGGCATGCAGAGGATCCATCTGCGATTCATGTTTCGACATCGGTCATCCCTGGAATGTGAGTACAACCAAGTGGCATCTGGGGCGAGAGGAGGGGGATAGCCGGGTGGCCCATGTGTCCTCCTCTTTCCTGACCTCACAATGCCACTTCCAGCTAAAGATAAAGGAGAAAAGAACTTTGCCATGTCCTACGTGAAGCTGATGAAGGAAGACGGGACCACTCTGCAGGATGGATACCACGACCTGGTTGTCCTAAAGGTACAGTGAGTTGGAACCAACTCTGTAGTGAGGGGGCTGCAGGAAACAAAGGGGACAAGGTGGGGTAGATTCGTGGTTAACAACAGGGACCCCTGGACCACACACACCACAGCTTACCAGCTGTGTGGCCTTGTACAGAAGCTAACTTCTCTGGGTCTATGCTGCCTCATCTATGAGCCCTCAGTGAATAATTGTGAGGAGTACATGAGACAGCTTATAGAAATATGACAATGGTGGGTTCATGGAACACTCAATATGTGCAAAATGTGAACTCTGAAAGGACCTGTGGGATGTGTAGACATTCGACAGACGCCTCCCTGTAGCTAATGGGGGAATAGTAGGATTTGGGGTCCCGATCCCGCTGCTGACCAAATCTGAACTCATCTCACATGTCTCCGTGAGTCTCAGTTTCCTTTTCTTCAGTGGTGATGGTGATATTTGTGTCGAGCCCGTGAGATGACCCTTGTGAAAGGGCCGTGTGTAAAGGGTACAGATGTCAGCTATCATTGTTTTTGCATCGCGAGACTTAGACTGTTTTGGAGAAGTGAGAGGCGTGGCCTTGATTGTACTGCATGCTTCCCTGCGACCCCTGTGACAGCTGGTGCCTCTGCTAGCTCCTGGCTGTAGGCAACGCTGTGGCTGCGAAACAGCAAGGCCAGGAGGTGGGCATAGGCATCAGACCCTTGCGCTTGGCTTTCTCAACATTGGAGGCTGACTTTGCTCTTTTGTGTGAGGTCCGCATGGCACATACAACTTCATCAAGGCTTTATGACATGATCCTCTTCTCTGAGCCTCTCTGACTTTTCCAAAAACCACCCCACTCCTTCTGTGCAGCCTCTGCGTTGTCATCTGGGACATATCAAGGTAGCTCTTGGCATAAACGCCATTCTTTCTCAACAGATTGCACACTCACTGGGGGTAGAGTCCCAATTGTGGTCAGTTTTAAAATTACTCACCTTGCTTAAACCTCGGTTTCCTCACCTGTAAAATGAGGGTAATATAATGAAGTTAATTGTAATCGACAGTTACGATTGTTGCGAAGCTTAAATGAAACGGACTAAGGCACATAAAGCACTCAGTGTGACATTTAGTCCAGAATAAGGCTCCGTGAATTCTAACGCTCGTTATGCTCCCATCTACTCTTTCATTTCACATGCCAAGGGCTCACACACGTATCACTCTGAGCATGCTCTGTGCATTAGTGCCATTTAGTCTGCTTGAAATGTCTAGGAAGCAGGTAACATGATGAATCCTCAGGTTCATTGTGAGAAATGTGACACAGAGAGACCAAGGGATGTATCCAACAGGACACAGACCTGTGAGTGGTAGGAGAGGGCCTAGATCTCCGGACTTTCAGACTCCAGGGCCTTTGCTAATATCAACTTCTTCAGGCTGATTCCTTATCTCGCTGGGGCACATGTGTATTAAGATCTCAGAAAAATTAGGATGAATGCAAATGTCCTATCTGGGAAATTTTCCATTTCCTTTTGCCCTTAATGTTGTCCACAGAGCCTCTAACTGGCTGATCAACCCCTTTTCCATGAATGTAAACTGGGTTCCTGCCTGTTTTTGGAGAAGCTGCTCTGCCTTAGCAGGTGGTCATTACTTCTCCGATGGCTTCCCCATGATTTCCGACCCTCCCCACCTTACAATGTGTGATGTGGCCACTGCAAGCTCAGTCTGTTGGGTGTCTACCCTTGGGTCGGGGAAGTAAACAAGGTGCTGTTTCCAGGGGGACAGCAAGAAGATGGAGGATGCCAGCGCCTGCCTGACTCTGCCTTCATATCGGCACCACATGGAAAACAAGGGGGCCACTCTGAGTCGAAGCTCCAGCAGTGTTGGGGGGCTCTCCGTCAGCTCCCGGGATGTGTTTTCCATTTCCACCCTAGTGTGCTCCACAAAGCTCACCCAGAACGGTAGGTGTGTGTGTGTGAGTGTGCGCATGCATATAAGTGTGCCTGTGTGTGTACATGCACTTGTGCATGTGTGTGCCTGTGTGCATGCCTGTGCCTGTGTGCATGCATATGTGCATGTGTGTACCTGTGCCTGTGCCATGCATGTGTATGTGTGCACAAACCCAGTGATGGTAACTGTACCTGTCTGCACTCTGTCCTAGTGGGCTTGCTGGGTTTGCTGAAGTGGCGAATGAAGCCTCAACTACTGCAGGAGAATTTAGAGAAATTGAAGATTGTGGGTGGAGAGGAGGTAGTGAAGGTCGGTATTCATCCACTAGTAACAGAGCTGGGAATCGAGAGTGGCTTTGGGGGGCGGGGGGGGAAAGTGTTGAAGGGGATGGGACAGCTTTTTCTCGTTACTGGGAAATCTGGGGATGATTTGGTCCAATGACACTGAATGTGAAGTTGCAGAAAAGTATCTTTGTGCTCAGTTTCTGGAAAATGATCAGTATGGGTGTAGATCCCAGCTCACCTGCTTGCCAACTCCATGTGATAATAGTATGAATAGGACATATTTCTCAGGGTTGTTGTGAGCATTCAAGGTGATGATATTTAAAAATTACTCAGCACAGTCTCTCACACAGAGTACCCAATAATTGAACGAAAACACACGACATATACAAAGTTCATTAAAAGGTAACTATTAATTTTGTTGTCATAAAGTACTGTAGCAGTATGATCTCTTAGTGCTACCTACACATTATTGTCAGAAATAACACAGTACTGTTGGTTTCCACAGCTTGAGGGCATTATGCTTTAAACACGAGAATGGGAAGGACACCAGGGCTCACATTTTAAGTGAAACAAGCAGAAAAAATGCAAATGCCAGCTGTATTGTCATGTCCACCTGGTGGTGGAGAATACAGCATCTGAAGTTCAGGTCTAATTAAAGCCACCCTCGTCTCTGGCACCATGACTTGGGGCGAGTGTTTCCTGGAGGTCCCAGTGAGGGTAATCTTGTTTCCACCAGGAACTTGGTGCAGCTAGAAGCTCCGAGATTCAGCATCTTTATACGGTCGCTCTGTGTTTTGAGGACTCTAGGAAATACTGACCCGCCCCTTAGGAGGGAGGGGTAACACACGTTAGTTAATTTCCCATGCATGCAGAAACATGGTTGAATGTCCAGATCAGTTCTTTAAATGGTTGGTATCGACCTGCCTACCTGGTTCACCGACGGCAGAGAGGTTCCCCAAACAGCCTTTCATAGGGTCTGTCACTTTTGAGCAGCTTAGAGAAGACATCTGGGAGTGAATTCCACTGTCTCCTTTTTGCATTATTTTTTAAAGTTTTTTTTAATTGAATTATAATGCATAAACAATAAAATATGTACAGAGCACTTATTCTAAAAGTACAATTCAACGTATAGGGTGGGGCAAAAGAAAGTTTACAGTTGTGAGTATGCAAAACACACAGTTTATTCTTGTACTATTATTTATTAATTAGTATATTATCTTCTATACAAACAACTGTAAACCTACGTTTGCCCTTCCATGCATTATTATACATGTACATTCCCATGTACCCACTACCTAGATGAAGATACAGAACATTTTAGCATTGTGGTAGGTTCCCTCATACCCTTCTCAGTCAATACTCACTCGGGGATAACCACTTAGCTGACTGCCATCACCATTGATGGGCTTTTGTCTATTCTTGAATTTCATAAAAATAGAGTAATACAGAATGTACATGTTTGTGTCTGACTTATCTCACTGCACACAATGCTCAGGAGAAGTAGTTGGCTCTTTTTTTTATCACTGTGCTTCTGTTGGTGGACAGGTGGGGTGCTCCGAGTCCTGGTTCATGTGAACTTGGACCCCTTGACCATGGCGCATGGTGGATGTGTGCTCTCAGTCTCTGTGGTCTACACTGAGAAGTGGATTTCTGAGTCACCTACACTCTTTCTTAATGTGCC